GGGGGGGGGGGGGGGATAAGAAACATACTTTATTAAGACAAAAAAGAGGAACAGAACAAAAATGGTAAAGAAGTTCTCAAAATAAAAGAGAAAGGAAAACAACAAAAGAGGGTGAATAGGCTAGTCGGAGGAGGAGGAGCTATAAAAAGCTAAGTCATTCCAGGAACTTGTGAAGGAAGGAAAGTCACTAAAATCAATAGATAAAGACCTGCACAATAGGGTGGATTTTTATCTTGCTAAGTAGTCATCGGTGGCACAACAGAGCTGGTAATTGATTGGATTGAAAAGGATGCTGTGTGGATTATCATGAAAAATTCAAGAAAAATAGCATTTCCCACTTCCACAAGGAAAAAAAAAAATAGAAATACAAAACAAAAGAACTATTTGTACCTTTTTCCCAGCAGGCTGTTGCAGTGAATGCGTTATGTCAGCGACCTACAGATAAGCAATTAAATAAGAATAATAAAAGTTAGATCATCCAGCTAAAGATGTAGATGAATGAAATCTGATAAAAACCAAATTAATTGTTACTTAAACTAGGAACAAAGACAATTTCAAAGTTCTAGATAGAAAACAGTAAAGAAGAGCAGAAGAGCACTTTCTTAAAAGAAACAAGAGGTAAAACATGGGACTGGCAGTTCTCTACAGAGGAAAAGAAAACCCATTCAAACAAGAATGCTAAACCAAAAACTTTGTTTACTCAACTTAAACATTAGACATTGCAACTTAAACTTGTATCGAGTTTTGACAGTCTAAACTAGATTTTGACATCCAATATAGTTGTAATATCTAATGTCACCAAAATGGAAATATACAAGTTTCGGTGTAGCTTTCTCCCTCTTCCTTCTAGAGATATTATGATCTATGTGTACTCAACTTAAACTAAAGAGTACTGTGGGTTCCATGGGGTATCTATTCAGCATTTTTCTTGCAAACGTCTTCCTGGAGGGAAAATAGAATTCCGGAGGAATAACAGTCCTTATGCCCTCTTATCTAGAAAAGTCCTTATGCCCTTAATAAATCTGTAATAGTACTACGCATCAGGAGTGTTTCATCTCAACCGACTTCATGCAGGTACCTAACAAAGCTTAAATTCATTAAAAATGCACAAATTTTCTTAAAGAACAACCATATTTCAAGCTTAATGGGGGAGCTTCAAGTGTTCTCCACCCCCCAATTCCGCTTTTATTTTTCAGAAAAATGATAATATTAATAATGATAGAGATAATCAAATAATTGCTAAAAAAAAGGATAAAAAAAAAAGATTACAGAAAACAGGGAAAGTAAAGTCTGTTGGTACAAAATAACAACAAAAATAATAACAAGAACAATAGTGTATAAGACGGGAACCAGATCATTACTTACAACAGGACAATTTGTTTCTCTCATCCACTCCAAGTTGCGTGGATCAACAATTAAATCATCTAAAAACCAAATGTGAATATATACTCAAAAACTGGAAAAAAGAAAAAGAAAACAAATACCAAAATGCATCAATGACTGAGAAAATTCTTGAATGAGTGAGATGGGAATAACTTATGAATTCTATTACTCACTCAAAGTTGGGCCCTGACACATAGAAGTGAGACAAGCACAAGAACATTGATGAATGCCAAGATCACAAAGTTTTACCTATTATATATAGACAAATACTAACAAAAGTAGCTATGCCATATTCCTTTATAGCTTATTTCAAGTTTAAGTACTATAATTTAAGCTACCAAAACCAACTTCCACCGCTTCTATAACTTACTATATCCAAACATAGTTCCCCTTTCACAGACCATCACATTTGGATTTCCAGCCAGTCTAATCTTCTCTGCAGAATTTACCATTACCTGAATAAATGAAAATACTCAAAACAATTATACCAGATCGACGCTTATGAAAATAAACATACACATACATGAAAACCAAGAGTACCAAATAATGTATGATGAACAAATTACTTACAGAAGGAGCACAAAACTGGCCTTTCTTGATATTGATAATTTTTCCAGTTTTGGCTGCTGCGACTAAAAGATCTGTCTGTCACAACAAGTGATTTCATCTCAGATGGAATGCTAATGCACCCTTCAAACACTAAATAAGTAACTAACCATGGAAGAAAGTTCAAGCCACTAACTTAACCTGACGACATAAAAATGCAGGAATCTGAATAATATCTGCAACTCTGCCTACTGCTTCACACTAGAAAAGAAATTGGAGCGTTAGAAACAGTTCATGACATCCCAAAGTCCAGATTTAAATTTTCACTGCAGTTCATTTCATTTCCAGAAAATTGTCAATTGTCAATAATATAAAAATGAAAATTATCTGAAAGTGTGAAGAAAGAAAAAGCAGAAAAGCAATTAACAAGTACATGTAGACTTGTATGATCGCGTGGAAATATCCATGCCATATCCGAAATCAGTTCCATTATGTTTTGCATCCATCTCTTTAACAATGTTTTTGCACATTTAGACATACAAATACACACACACACAAATATATATATATATATATATATCTCATGTGTTAAGAACCGGGCTATTTCTAAAGTAGAATTCTCACAAAAAATAGCATAAAGAGCTGATTCCCTTTACTGAATTAAGAAAAGGGATACAAAGATAGCAGCATTTGAGAGGCTGCCACTATCCCCAGGTTTCCCAAAATCCTCACATATCTGACCATAAGCCCTCTTCAGCTACTAAACCCCTATTTATACTACAAAAAAAGACTACTAACAAACCGCTAACCAACCTCTAGCAATTTGTTATTTAACAGGACCCTAACAGCATGTAGTGGGCGTGTGCACACACCAGTACTTGATAAGAATGGTATTTGAAGTACTGACTGATAACAGGACTTGCCATTTCTTGTTTTTCTTATCCCACTATTTAATCCATCAAAGTTTTAAACTTGAGCAAAAATGCGTGAAGTAAATTAGCACCTAATAAACAAAGGTCAAAACATCTACTTCAGTAAGTTTACATACAAGTCATGAGAACATCCTCTATAATCTTGTGGTTACGCATTAAGAACTCACCTGGACTGTTTCATGCACATCAGTAACTATGGGTATGTCATATGCTATTTTAACCTTCTCAAGTATCTGCAAGCAAGAAAAAAAGAACAAAGAATTCATTATTCTTGAGAAATATGCTCGCTTGTCGACTTAACTTTCACATATGTATATGTTTTAATATTTTACTTTCTTGTAATAAGTTACCTAAATTTAATTCATACCAAGCAAGAAAAATGTTACTGGAGACATATTTAACAACTAGTTTGGTAGGTCCAATTCTTCTACGCCAAACAGTTTAACAAGGTCAATTGAATAAGCAACTCTCAGCATAACCACAAAATAATTGCACGATACATAGAGAGACATCTACTATTATTGAAGCAAGAAATCTCATCCAAATTCAAATTCGTAAGGTCAACATTTTCTGACGCACAATATTTAGCCGTTGCCAATTCCTTCTGAGCACAGTTTAAAGATGCTCTCTAATATAGCACAATATATCACCACTAAGCTAAATAACAATAGTGCTTAGTGCAAACCTAAGGTCTGTACCTAGATTATTGTTCTGTTGGAAGATTAATGAAGCAATACTTTATCTGGTTTGATGTGATCATCATCCAATGTGATTGTAGTACTTATGATTCTACAGTGACAGATTCTGAATCATGTTGACATAACAGCATATTACAAATTGTATGTCCTCTAAGTCTTTCACATGTGGTAACTTTACCCCTACAAACATCTTCCAAAATATAACTTCCATCTGCAAAACTTTGAAAACTTGCCCAAAAAGATACACATCCTGTTAACTGATCCCCATTTAACCCAGTACCTTAAATATTGCACATTTATTTGGCGATGGAAATATCAATATTATTCACAAGTCCAAGATACCCCATTTACCATGGATAACAAAGCTTAAGAAAATATAGTACACAGCAGCTACCCACAATGACTTTTTATTTTTATTTTTCAAAAGAAAGAATACCTTTAAGCCTTCAATCATGCCTGGACCCCGAAATGATTTTGAGGATGTTCTGTTGGCTTTGTCAAAGCTCGATTTGAACACCAGAGGCAACCCAACTCTACAAGAATGTAAGAGAGAATCTTTAGGCTTCATTACCGCAACTACTCAAAGATATCTTTAATTGCTTAGCGTATATGGAAAACATTGACAATGAAATCCCAACAAGCATTCTACTCCTTTTCCTTTTCTTTTACCCCCTTTCAACTAAGAAGAAAACATCAAAATAGCGAGGGGAAGTACTTTTTCTCTTATTGTATTGGAAAAGATTCCCTCCTCCAATCTGTCCATATTTAGGGATATCAAAATTAGCGTTTGTTAGAGCATCTCCAATACAAAGCTATAATTGATGTGTCAATTGCAAATTTAACATTTGAGTGCAAAAAACTCTCTAATGCAAAATTATTTGTTGTGTCAAATATCCCATGTGCTATACTTTGTGGCAAATTTCCCACCAAGTATAGCATATGGGAAATTTGACATTTGATTGCTATTGGTTGAAATGTTTACTTTTTCATGTAATCATTATGACTTTTGCATTTTCTAATTATTTTAAAAATAAATGTTCACTTTTACAACTTTCAGAGCTTAATTATTATGGAAAAATGTAGAGTTGTTAGTTCAAATAGCATTATGCATCGGAGCAAAAATAAAAATAACATACCATATTTTACTTTTTGATGTTAAATATACAATTGACATTAACATTTGCTTTGGAGATGGTCTTAAAGGATTTAAAATCCTTAAACCAATCTATTCTTTCCTACCAAACAATCATGGGTCTCAAAATCCTTTCACACATCCTCTCACCCCTCTCTCTCTATCCACTTTTCCCTCCTACCTAACAAGCTCTTTAATGCGGAGGTCCAGAGTTGAAACCCCCCCAACCCAAAGTTAATAATTAAAAGAAAATAAAAAAACTTTATCCAATTCAGTTAGACCTTCCCTCCATAAACACACAGATTAAACCACATTTTCTACTCCCTTTCTTTTTATCCTTTTTTCCAAATGTGAAACTTTTGCTATAAAAAAAAAAGTAATAATAATACACCAGCGCGGTGAGATTCGACCACGGAAATCCAAGAACGCTGGAAGATAATATTCATAACCTTCGTATGCACTTGCAAGATTTAATATAAACTCTTCATATTGAGCTCGCTGCACCCGCCTTTCTAATTCAGTTAACAAGCTGTTTAAGCTACAGACTTCCTGAACTTCAGAATCATTCAGGTAATATTATTAAAAGAAGCATTACATACTTTGATGCAACAGTCTTAATGTGGTTGGCCATCCGCATAATATGGTCCTCAGATTCAATCACATTTGGTCCCGCCAACAAGAAAAATGGCTCTGCTGCCTGCACACATACCAATCAAATAAAATCATATCTTTCTAGGTTTGTGCACTTTAAACCAAAATAATAATAATAATAAAAGGAGAAAAAAGAAAAGAACAGTTAAGTAGTTAAAACCTTGAGCTGGTTGTATAGCAGTAGAGACGAATCCATATCCTCCAGTCCACTAAGAACAGAATTCAGGTCTTGTATTGCTGTAAATAACAGAATTCAACTTGATATATGTATCAACGTGTATCTAACACCAAATGGCATTGATTCACCCCAAAAAATATATCTAACCAGAGTATATCTAGAAGCATTATATCGTGCAAAGTACGTCACAACAAGAATGTAACAGTTAAATAGTCCAAAATAAGTCATAATACAAAGACAAAAATTGCATAGTCCAAAATAAGTCATAATACGAACATAAAAATTACAGAGTCTAAAATTAAATACCTAGTGTTGTGGCCATATTGCTTGCAATTTTGATGTAAAAAAACCAAAAAAATCACATAATTTACTACACCATAACATACCAATTTCCAACAGATATCAAACTAATTTTCACAAATCTCACAAAGATGAACTTCGATCAAAATCCAACTTATCACCATTTTTCCCCCAAATAAATCGGCCCGTCTATTATCTCCATTATTCCCACTCAGTCCAAAAAGTGTCAATCTCATCTTCACATTTTGAAAATTACGACAACCACATATGATAACCCAAATGAGCTAAGATTTAGATTCCAAAGAAACCCATTTTCAGATTTTTTTTTTTTTTTTTTTTAGTAGAAGAAAATATCAGTTGTAACAAAACAGAGAGAGAAAATCTAAGAGTAAAGTATAACTACGATACAAGACAATGAGTCAATGACGTAGATTATTACAAACAGATAAACAACATGTATAGCAGAATTTGAGTCAATAGGAAAAAATCAATTAGGTAAAAGGAACAAACATAAAACCTTCGCATAATGCAACAAGTGCAGAAACTAACTAAAGAAACACCCAGATAAAGAAGGATAAACTCAAAGATATTCCAGGGGGAAAAAATGCCATATAGTGGGAATACATATGGATTACAGACTAGTTACCAGACAAAGAAAGAGGAAAATAATCCTAATCTATACAAATCATTAAATACCATTCACACAGTGCTTAATCCAAAGTTCCAAACACTAAATCTATAACATATTTTGGTCCGTATCGATACTACTATTATAGTATAGACATAAATTAGTCAGCACAACAAAAAAGAAATTGTAGAAGTTTACAACATTCTAAAGTAACGGGATTATAATTAATACATTGTACTAAAACAATCAAATTATGAAAAAGTAGTACTATACTCTAACTGAATTAGCCAAAGAACACACAAATTTACATAAACAAACTTCAGAATGCCAAAACAACAATTCAATTAGTGATTAAAGCGATGATAAAAAAAATACTTGTAAATCCATGAGAGGAGACTCAAACCGAGGGATCCAATTAGTGATTAGAGGGAATGCTGCTTTTGAACCGTACAGAATCACTTCCAATCAAGCATTGGAGATCGGAGATATCACAAAGGTTGTAAGAAAAGGGATACAAAGGATTCAGATATGGAAGAATATCGGTGTTTTCAATTAAGGTTACACAATAAAACACTTAAAAGAGAGACTTTGTAAGATTTCCCAAACAAACATATCGAAAGTTTCAATAAAATCAGAGACCTTTTCGATCGGAATAGAGGCAAGGAACGCAGGGATCAGAATGGAATGAGAGCAATCGAAGGTGGAAAGTATTATTCCGAGATTAAAGACGAAAACTTTACCAGATTCTTAGACGTGAACAGCCAAATGGAAGAAGAAGAAGAAGAAGATTTGCTTTAGGTTGTGCTGCTGTAAATGTAATGGGAACCCTCGTTGTACACACTACAGAGGATAGAAAGAAAGAGAGCGAGGACGACGATGAGTTTTGTCCGTAAAAATAGGAAGACGTCTGGTTCATGAATTAAAATTATGTGATTAAAATTATTTTTGATTTATGTGTATTTTTTTATGAGAAAAAATATTATAACGAATCATGAACTATAATTTAAATCATGGTTTGAATCCTCTAACTAAATGTCCCCTAAAAATAAAAAAGCCCTAGTTCAAGTCACGATTTACGCCCGTTTAGTTCGTTGATTTGAATTTTTAATTTACATTGAGATATGATTTTATGTGAGAGTTTTTTATTGTAATAAAAAAATTAAATGTTATTGTTTATGAGAACTTTTTACTGTAGTAAAACTCAAATTCTAAACTCTAATCTCTCTCTCAACGTGGCTTATTTTGGAGGAGAAACGGACGAAACGTTTCATCCACCTCCCAAAAAAAAGGGGATCTTTAGTAGGGGGGTTATAGATAAATGAGAAAGTGACTGAAATGGTGGCAAGGGGATCTTTAGTAGGGGGGTTATAGATAAATGAGAAAGTGACTGAAATGGTGGCAAGGGGATCTTTAGTAGGGGGGTTATAGATAAATGAGAAAGTGACTGAAATGGTGGCAACGGTAATACTTTTCTTTTATATAGGGACATTTTTACGGATACTCTTTTGAAATTTTTAAGTTTGACAATTTAATTTTTATTTTTTTTCTTAGTAATTGATCTTTTTAATTTAAAAAATTTTGTAATTAAGATGTAATTGAAAATAACGTTTGCTTTTTTAACGATTTTGATCACATGAAGCACATATGAGTATTTATTGAAGATAATAAAGATCATGTTTCAGTCTTAAAAAGTCTATTAAGAGTATAACTCTTAGAAATTAAGAGTTATTTATTACAGTTGATTGTGTTCAGATACATTAGATGACTCTGAAATGAATAAATAATATGAGAAATAACTTGTATTACCCTCTGTAAATGTTCTCATGCGCGTCATATGATTAGAATCGTAAAAAAAAAGCATCATTTTTTATTGAGACTTAATTATAAAGATTTAAAAATTGAAGGGGTCAATTACAAAAAAAAAAGAATAAGGACCAAATTGTTAAATTTAAAAAATTTAAGGAGTATTCATAAAAAAAATCTTTATATAATTGTCAGCTGTTCGGAAAGATCAAATCATATTTTTGTTTAAGTAGTTTATTTTATTTTAAAGGTACGAAAGGTTCTGAAGGAAAGTCCAACTCAGGCCTCATTTATTTCACTGATTTGAGTTGAGATGTGATTTTATGTAAGAGCTTTTTACTGTAACAAAAAAGTTAAATGTGACTGTTTGTGAGAGCTTTTTACTGTAGCAAAACTCAAATTCTAAACTCGAATCAGCGAAACAAACGAGACCTCAATCATTGGGTTTACCAAATGCTCGAAATTAAGAAATGAAAATTGCCCGAAATTAGGCAGGCTTTCAAATGATTTTACCAAATGCTGTTCCTCCTCCTCCTCCTCTTCTTCTTCTTCTTTATTATTTATTTATTTATGTTATAAGTAAGTGAGAAATATTAAGAAATAGATTCTCAATTTAAATAAAGGCTAAATATGTATTTATAAATTTTTTATTTTGACAAGTTACTTTTTAAATTTAACAGAGTCACTCGATACTCAAATTCCAAGACTCGCATTTTCTTAATAACCTTTCATTTATTTATTTATTTTGCGTGAGATATTTTTGCATCATGGTTTTAAAAATGAAGTTCTCTGTAGCCACAGCATGTGGTCGCAATAACAAAACGCTTAGTCATATTCACCGAAGCAAATAATCCTAGGAAAAAAAAATAAAAAATGAATGCATCATTCAAAGTTTTTGCCAAAAGTACTTTATACGTTCTCTCGTATCCCACATACAAGAAAGACAAACTGCTAAATTAGGCCAACAACACACGAGTAATTCCAAAGATCTTTCATTAATTGCAATTACTTTTCATGCAAGGAATCATAAGGCGTGGAAACCCGAAGTTTATGTAATCAACCTACACTTCCATTTTAAGATTAGATCATTGAATGGTACAAACAAATTAAAATTGATTTTCTTATACTCAATTTTTTTAAAAAAAATATTACCTTTAAAAATTTTAAAATTTTACACTTAAACCCCACTAAAATAATATATCTCTTCACTAAAATAAATATATTTTTTATATGCCTCTATTAAAATAATTTATTAAAAAAAATTTAGTGTACGTCCCCATTAAAATGAAAGACTAACTCTGTCACTATATATATATATATATCAATTTGTCAAATATATATATATATATATAAATGTGAGAAATGTTAAGCTCACCCTCTTTATCACTTTTTGTCTCATTTCACTTAACTCTAACAATAAAGCATAACAATAGACCATTCTTTTACATGTAATTACAAGTTTTTCTATTATTAAGTGTTTTTTTTACACAATTAATAATTCAATTTTTTATTATAATTTTTTTAAAAAAAGTTTGAGTTGCAATACTCGAATTGTAAAAAGAACACATCCAAAAACTCAAAAGTTCTAAGAGAGAGGAAAATGATCAATTCTGTCTAGTTGATTGTCTGTCTTTCTTTTTTGATATATTAGAAGACCCATTTGTGAACAAAAAAAAAAAAAGTAAAAGCATGAAGGACCATAAAAGGTGAAGTTGATATGTAACTTCATCATTATTCAAGGATAAGCATACACTTATTTAAAAGCCACAACATTAGTAATTGCGGCAATATATGGGGTGCAAGCTCTCATTATTAATTCCAAGTTTTCTATGACTTGGTAGTAATATATTACAAGCCTATTTATGAGGAGAAGATTCTCAGTCCTTGCATACTTTAGGGTTGCATGTGTCAACCTCGTATGTGCACTGGCACATCGGTGGTTGCTTTTTATCACACATACAATTTGACCCGCAAACCAATGGGCAGCAGCCAACCTTCATGTCTGTCCGATAGCATTTTTTGTTTCCATGTTTTCCTTTGCACTCACAGTTTGAGCAGAAACTTTTCGGTATACCTGAATATATATATATATATATATATGTATATATATATATATATATATATAAACACGCGCCAAGAGAGTGATGATCATTAGAAACCCCAGAAAGGTCTCCAGCATCAACTATTGGAGCAACAAGCACAACAAACAGCAGCAACAACAAAACAGAAACTTTGATGAAGGCCATAATATTTTTTTTCTGATAATATTTATGGAAGATGAATATGTGCATAAACAAGGGTCTTCTAGGACCTATAAATAGTTGCATATTGGGGACTGTCACATCAGATAAAATTACCATACAGACCCTATGCCTCACTAGAACAACATTACATTAGGCACGCCAAATATTTTCTGACTTCTTTGCGTTTGACTTTTATAATATATGTACATGGTAACTCTATTAAAAATAGAATTATTGCATTGCATTTAAATTGGCTAGTTTTTGAGACTTTTAGTTTATTTATTTTAGTTTATTTTGATTTTTTTAATTTACTCATTTATTTTAATTTTACTTAATTTCATTTGTTTTTACTTCACATGATTTAGTTTTATTTTAATTCAGACTTTCATTAGATTCATTTTACTTATTTTAGTTTATTTAGTTTAGTTTTAGTAATTTTTATTTAGTTTCCTTCCAAAATAATTGTTCATTCTCATTGTAATTAGTTTGGTGAGAGGGGATTAAAGTGCAAAATTTTGGAATTGAATTGGGTCAAAAATGCAAACAAAATGGGTTAAAATTCGAATTAGGAGCTCAGAAAAGAAGTCCAGCAGCAGCCTACCATTCTTGCTCCGCCAAGTGTCGTAGATTGAATTTAAATAACTAAATTTTGTTCTCTAGCTAGTCGACCAATTAGGTCGACACATCAGAGATAGCTACATTTATTAAAAAAAAAAACTATTTGGCTTTTTTTACATTCTGCACTACAGAAAAAAAGGCCTTTTCTACTATTTTCTTATGGAACGTGCTAAGCTATCACGTACCTTCTAAAAAAAAGGCCTTTTCTACTAAAAAAGGCCTCTCTACTGCACACAAACACTTTTATTTTGAGGAAAAAAGCTTAATCACTGTCGGGTTCATTTCACCGATTTAAATTTAAAATTTAAATTTTAGTATTAGCTACATTTATTAAAAAAAAAAACTATTTGGCTTTTTTTACATTCTGCACTACAGAAAAAAAGGCCTTTTCTACTATTTTCTTATGAAACGTGCTAAGCTATCACGTACCTTCTAAAAAAAGGCCTTTTCTACTAAAAAAGGCCTCTCTACTGCACACAAACACTTTTATTTTGAGGAAAAAAGCTTAATTACTGTCGGGTTTATTTCACCGATTTAAATTTAAAATTTAAGTTTTAGTATAATAAAAAATTTTCAGAAACAGTTAAATTTAATTTTTTACTATAATAAAAAAACTCTTACATAAAATCACATTTTAATTCGAATTAAAAATTCGAATCAGCGAACTAAATTGACTATAGAGAGAGTTATTTCCTTTTTTTTCTTCTTGAAGAAGTGATATAATCCATAAATTATATTGCCTAATTTCTTTTATTTACCTTCAGAGCCTGTTTGGTTCATTGATTAGAATCATGAGATTAGAAAAATTTTCAATTTACGTGTATTTTTTATGAGAGAAAATACTGTAGCGAACCATGAACCATGATTCGAATCAGAGAAAAAATTTCTTGTAGTAAATTTTATTTTAAGCGGTTTCATTTTAGTCTGCTTCTTTTATTTTTTCTAGGTTGCCTTGATCTTGGGTTGTTTTATGTTTTTACTTTTCCTTAAAAACTTATTTAAAAAAAAACAGAAAAACTTATTTAAAAAAAAAACAGAGAGAATGTCTTCAGTAAGTGTTTTTTTAATATTACAGCGTAATTTTTCTAACGTCTAGTGGCTTTTTGATGATGTACCTATTACAGCATTGGAGAAATGTCAAATTAGTTTGGTAATATTATGCGATGGGAATGTGAGATCTGTAAATGCAATTCGGTCCATATATAT